GTATTTGTCAGATGATATATTCAATGCGTAATAAATCATTGACGGGCTGTGTCTTTCAGTGAGCATGATCCATCGACAGAGGGAGTCAAATCATGCAAAAAATGTACCTGATAAATAATTTATTCTACAAACAATGGCATTATTAATAGAACATCAGATTCAATTAACACCATTCATTCAGCTCGACTTTTGACTCATGGAAATAAATGGTGTGTTGTGCTCTATTGTGTCTTTTGCACGATGCACACTGTGCAGTTTGAGTTTGATAGTTTCCACGATACTCTCAGAACAGTATTTGATATTTTTAAAGTATTTTGTTTACTTACCACCCATACAGAAAACAAGGCCACACATTGCTGGATCATCAGCTGCTGGGCTGGCTTGGTGGTCTTTTTAACCCAATAATTGCGTGAAATGAAGGTGTCTCATCATATAACGATAACGGCCTGGGCATGCTGCACCAACTGATCCCCATGTTTTGCTGCACAGTGGAAAGTAATGAACCCGGAGCCTGGGAACAGCAGCAGTGGGAGCTACAGGGAAGGGAAATTAAACCAAAGCCTGTTTGGATAGAATGTGTTTATTACAAAATGGCCCGGTCTTTGTGCAGGGAAGAGACGGATCATGATGGGATGTGGGTTGTTATGAAGAATGGCTATCACTCCGTCAGTGCGCACTGGGCTTTTACAGCACCGAGATAAACCAGGAGGCTGACTTTGCTGCCCTTTCACATCCGCCTGAGGTCCCTGCTCTGAGGCGCTGACCAGCCAAGGCCCTTAACAGGTGGTGGGATCCCAGCAGATCGTCCCTCTTTCCTGGGCTGAGTCCTGCTGGCTGCAGGGGGATTCCACACAATCCTTTGTGGAATTGGGCCTTAACAAATGAAATTCTTAAAGACTGAGACTCAATGGCCAGCAAACAAACTCTGAAAATGCTCCCTGATACCGACCGTCCCTGTCCCCTCTGTGCTGCATTGGGAGATGAGAGAGCTCAGCACCTCACAGGACAGGGCTCAGACGTTTTAAGGGCTGGTGTTGTTTTCTTTTTTTAGCTAAGAGAGAGATTTGTGAGTGGAAGGAGCTGTCCCCACTGAGGTCAGCTGGGTCACGAAATAGCTGAGGAAGGCCCAGGTGATGGCATGTAGCTAATTCTGTTTGGAAAGGATGAATCTAGGGGGAGTGAGGGGCAGGGTGATGGGGCCGTGCGGGTGGAGAGCATCCCGCTCACTGGCTCTCGTAAGAGCTGACATCCATGCAGGGCTGGGAAGTGTTTCTACCCAAACTAAATTATGCAGAGTGAGCGATATGTTCCCCTTGAAGAAGAGCTCAGTGCTTTGGCTGAGGAGTTATTCTGTGGTGGCTCCCTGCAGGTTACTTACATTATGTACACTGCACTCGCTGCCTTCCCTTCGTTTTGTCCTGGTATTCGCCTGGTCTGTCTTCGTTTGAAATCCGCTCTCTTGTTTCTCAGACCCCTCGTCTGGTATCCAGGAGACACCAGCTGCTAGGGCAGCCATGGAGGTGCTTGATCTGAGAGACCTCTGGCTTTAAAACACACACATACGCTGGGCCAAACTTAACCTTGGGGTAACTGACATCGTGAGGTTCCACCCGAGATGATCCTGGCCTTATTTTCTTTGCCCCCTGGCTTTGTTTTGTTTGGTCTCTTGGTTCCAGTAACTGCTCTGCATCCCTTTCCCCTCTTTGAGGCCCAAACTGGAGCTGGGACAGCAAACCCCAGCAGGCTGCATGTTGGGAGTTGCAAGGATCCACCACGGCTGCCAGCATTTAGTGGATCCCAAAGGTAGCCCTTTGGGTTAGGCCTCGAGTGAGCCTTGGACAGGTGGCTTTGTGTCCTGACACCAAACCCCTATCAGGTGGATTTCAATGAGCAGGTTTCATCAGTTCCCTATGGTGGCTGAATGATTTCCTGCTTAGGGGCAATCCCCCAGAAGCCAACTGTGAAAGAGAGGGAGAAATGAAATGGCTCTCAGGGGATATAACTTCACCCTCCTTCACCCCCAGCTCTGCCACTTACGGCTGAGCCACCAGCACCTTCCATCCTGCTAAAGAACCGACAGACGTTTCACGTGGGCATTCGTGGCAGATGCCACGACGTTTCCTGAGGGTGTCTGGTGACCTTGGTAGGAGCCATAGAACGTCACAAGCCTCCAGCCTCAGTGGGACTCATGCTAAGTCATGGAGCTATTTTGGCTGATGAGTGTGCGTGCCTCCAACTGGGAGCTATTTATTGCGGGTAGAGACTATTCAAATGTTCCCTTCCCTCTGCTGAGAAGAAGAGTACCCCCGACTTTCTCTAGCAATGCACACCCCTCCGCTCTAGGTGTGGGAGGTCTGACGGGGGTGCTGATGGGGCATTTCTGGCTGGGAGTGTATCTCGGCGTCTGACCAACTGTGGTGACTGGTCACACCAACGTGACATCAAAGGGATGCTCATGGTGGGTCAGCGCTTCCAGCCTGAGCTAGGCAGAAAGCACATGGCTTGTGCCCCGTAGTGCCAGGGGAGGGGCACAGGCCTCTTTGCTGGCCCTTCTGGGCATGCATTGCGTGAATGCTATTCTGGTGACTGGTGGGAATGCAGTTGCCAGGCCAGGGAGCGTCTCCATGGCAAGCCGGGGACAGCAAGAGGCTGTGAGGTTATCATTGACTCTCAAGCCACGCAAGCCACTTTATGCTCCTGTATCTGGGGAGCTGTGGCTTGGTGCCCAGCTCAGCTGTCCGGATACTGTGCTCCTGGGTACAAAGCAGCACCATGGCCCTGCCAGTGAGCACGCTGCTCCTTGATGGAGGAGGCAGGGAGGGAGCAGAGAGGAGAGAAATATGAGACTTAGGGAGAATAGGACCCAGATCCGCCATGGGCAGCCCTGATGCTGTTCTGGCCAGAGGGGCATCAGCAATGCCAGGAGAAGGAGCCCTGGGGAGACGTCTCTCCAAGGCCGTGGCAGTTGTGGGAAGGAAGGGGTGTAACCACGGCTCTGGCTCGACAGAGGTTCAGTCTCCTGAGTCAGGGGAAGGATTTGTCAGGGCTGAGCCACTCAACACCAGCATCTCTCTGCATCTGTCACCCAGGGAATTGAATTGCTGCTCGGAAAGGGCTCCTTTCTTGTCTGCGTTATTCCAGGCCAGCAGCGGCAGCTGTGTTCCAGCTGTGTGTGTCAGCACTGCACAGAGCCTCTCTGTCTCCTTTCCCCCGATGTGAGCAGCTCTCGCAGCCCAGCCCAGCTACTGCCACTGCTATACCATGTATGGTAATATAGTCCGACGGGGCTAGGGGCGGGGGGACGGCGGACTGTGCTCGGTGCCCAGAGGAAGGGCGTGGAGACGGTCTCACAGGCCCTGCTGTGTTGGGGGGCTGGAGCAGTGCGCAGTGACTCTCCTGATCCGGATGTGCTTTGCCGAGCTACAGCAATGGGCGGCTCCAAACATGGGTGCCACACCCAGACGCAGGCCAGCAAGCGCTGTGCAAGCAGATTGATGGCCCTGCCGAACGCTGAAGCGTGTGTGCGTGTGTGTGTGAGGGGGGTAATACATCCCACTTTGCAAGGCGAAGCTGGGCCCCTCTCCACACTGGCCTCATAGCCACGCTAGGTCCAGCATGTCTGAATGCAGCCCTGGCCAGCAGGGGCATGGGGATTTTTGTGCTGAGATGACCCGTCCAGGTTGTCTGAAATGTGGTTTTATTCCCTAGCTCCGACAAACTCCCTCCCTCTCCTCGCTGATTAGGAACCCAGCTGGCAGGGCTCTCACCCTGGTGGGGGCTGGTCTGTGGGCAGGGCTTCCTCTGAGGCCAGAGGGGGAGACGGGCATTAGCACTGGCATCTAAGCTTGACTCTTGTGTCATGCGTATGGGGCTGCATCTGGTCCAGTGTTTGATTCTCAGCACTGGAAGGTCCTGCCTGGCCACTCCAGGGGCTTGCTGGCTAGCATTACTGGGGGAGTAACGTCAGGTGGGCTCACCCCCACTTTGGGCACTGCCATACGGCCACTAGGGACTCATGGTGCCATGGCTGGGGTCCCATCTAAATCCAGATGAATTGCCTCTAAGTCAGCGATGAAACCCGCAGCACCAGCCCAGACTTGAGCGGAGCGCTGCAGCCAGGCCCTTCCTGGCATGTCCTTGCAGCCCAGCGTTGGCACCCAGTGGCCGGCCGAGTGAGTTGCTGAGAGGAGGTCGGAGCCAGGGAGGGTCAACCTTTGGAGGGCCAGGGGGATGTGTCCCCTCATGGAACAGGCAGACATCTTGCCCTTCCACACCAGTCCTCAGGGTCCCTGCTCCCTCCGCCTGGTCCCTGGCAGCAAACAGAGCCAGGAACTGCCCACACTGGCTGCAGGAGGGTCACAGAGCCAGTGCAGCCTCAGGCAGCATTGTGTTCTGGTGGGCTCCTAGCCTTTTCCAAAGCTGCACGCAGACCTGCAGGCTCCTCCGGGGCTCTGGTCACCAGTGGGGAGGGAGCTGGGTGTCTTGTCCAGAGTGTTTTGGAAGCAGCTGAAGGAGACCCCAGCAATGTGAGACTTGCAGAGCTTAGTGCAGGCGCTCATTCTTCCCCCATGACATTCTCCTCTCAGTCCTCCCTGCTCGGTTCGTTCCGGGTGAGTGTGGTGCTGGGGGAGGGTGCCGAATCGCCTCCTCTGTATATTGACCTCCTGCGCGTCCGCGGTGACCCATCGGAACCATCTAGTCGCGGGCTGTGGCCCATGCAGACCTGGCCTCTGGGCACAGGTTGCTACTCTGGGGCTAATTGTGGTGGTGATTTTTCTGATGTGGATGCCTGGCCACTCACAATGGGATTGAGAGCCAACAAACTCACTTCACGTGGGGCCCTGAACAGGCATCTGGTGGGGGGACTCTGCATGGTGAAGCCCGTCTCCCCTGCACGTCTACTGGTATGGCTCATTTTTACATAGGTTCACTAGGGACCCACCTCTCTGCAGAAGATTCATTCGTTTGCAGTTTCATCATTGTGTCCCTTTTTGTTCCAGGTGGATCCATGTTCACCACTCACCAGGCATCCACAGGTGAGCTGCAGGCCCTGCAGGGGCCGTCTTTGTTCTGGGTGTGGGGTCCTGGCTCATGACCGGGCTCCTAGGTGCTACAGCAACCCAAATAATGAATGGTTCTAAGGCCAGAAGGGGCACTAGGCCGTCTAGTCTGAGCTCCTGCCTAGCACAGTAACAACAAGCTCAGAAGCCAGGCTCTCTGGCCAGCAGCGCTGCCCATCTGAGTGCACCGGCTAGTCTAGTGCTGCATCTGCTCTGCAGCCATGACGCCAGCTCCGGCCAGCATCACTCCGGGCAGCAAGGCGGCATCACCCGCTGACTGATTTGTTTCTGAGCTGGTGACTTTGTAGACGGTCCCTGAGCGGGCAGCTCCCTTCAGCCCTGTGCATTCTTCCCAATGATCCGAGGTGGGATCCGACGGGATCCGGCCTTGTCACAGTTATAAACCATCCCTTCTCCCATCCCGCTGCCCTCCTGCTGCTGGGCACTGCCGGCTCACCAGAGGGGCACCAGGGACCCCCTGGCTGGAGAACTCCGCTCCCTGTGGCTGCATACAGAGCAGAGCTCAGGCTGGCTGTGCATCCTTGGAGACGGTGGTAACTAGCGTGACAGGCTGAGCATGGAGAGCTCCTCGAAGAGATAGGAACAGGCCAGCAGCTACCGGCTATAGCAACCCAGAGCTCTTCGGTTCTCAGCACCAAGCAGCTCGCTCTCCATGCTATGCAGAGCCAGAGCAGGTAACATCATACCTGCATTTCCTCCTGTACCAGGAGGGCTGAGACCCCCGTGCCTGTGACTGCAAGCCTGGCAGCAGCATGTTGAGCTAGCCCTACCTGTGGAGACCAGGTGACCCCGAACCAGGCTCCTTCCCAAACACCCCCCCGCCCGTCGCCTGGTGGATGTGCACGCAGGACACAGGTGTCGTGAGCGTTCTGTGGAACGATTCTGGTGTGAGTGCCCTGCATCCTAGGAAACGGAGAGAAAGTTTTGCATGGATTCTTTGCCAAGCTTCATCCTCTCAGCAGTTTGCAACGAGCTCAGCGATGCTCCGTGACTTCCCCATGGAAATTCTCTTAGTGGCAACTTGAAGAGAGAAATTCATGGTAATGGCATACGAGGCTTGGGAGGACTTTTAGTGCCTTCATCCTGCCAGGCACGAGGGCCCAGGTGTGTTTGTTGCATCTCCAGAAAGACACGGTACAGTGACATGGATTCTAAGGGCCTTTGTGGTGGCTATTTTTTTCCCCTTGTGGTTGTGTTTGGTTGGTGTATGGATTTTGGGTCTAACACTCGCCCGCTGCAAATTCAGCTGGCCGAGACTGATGTGGAAAGGACTCTGCCCTCTAATGATATTTTGTTTATAGCTCTGCAACAGTCAGCACCTGAAATTAACAAAGAGGAAGTGAGAGGGGCTAGTTTGTAGCCTCTACAGATCCATTTGGTGTGACCCTTCAGCAGCAATTCTCTAACAAACCCTGACCCCAGTGCTGCGGGTGCACCGCTGGTGTACTCACACACTGGTGATGTTCCCCATGGCTAGGTGCTGTGTACCACGGAGAGTTAATTCTAAAGTTCACAACCAAGAGCAGTGTTGAAACAAAACTCATGCAAATGTAAAGGTGCCAGACTGACGTCCCTGGAGACCAGCGCCCTTTGTTTATCCACGGGGCAGGTGCTGGGCAGTGCCTCATCACGCTGTCCTGGAGGCGTGACTCCTGAGAGGGGAGAAGAGTTCAGTCCCTGGAGCCCACTCACTCCCTGGCCGAGACTGACAACCTGGGGACAAAGCAATGGTGCTTTTAGTGGTGTGGGCATTTGCTGAACTGAAACCCACCACGCTCGTGTCACGCAGGCCTCCTGCACCCGTCAGACCTGCCAGCACAGCTGGCCTGGCCTGGCTTTGGTACCCACCCTGAGTTCGATGGCTGGGAGGCCCATTTCTCGCACGCGCCACACGGCACTTACTGGGTTTCATTTGCTAGCAAAGGCAGCCATGTCGCTTGTCACAGCGGGCAGCTGGGGAAACCAGGGCCACCAAGTGAGAACAAGTGGGGTCAGGAGGAGAGAGGACTCTGCAGACAGTGGGGAGTGAGCAGCGACAGTGGGAAAGAGGCATAGTCTGACTGGGGAGTGCGTGTCCCTCTGACAGCCTGTAGGGTTGTTCTTTTGATGGTGCATCACAGTCCGAGCAAGTGGTTTCTTCCCACTCCCCCCGTTCTGTCCCTCCATGGAACAGTCGTCAGCTGACTGTGGGAGTCGGGCTCTGGCCCTTCAGAGGCGCTGCGGCTGCTTTTTGGAGCCATTTGATTATGGGTGAGCCTCCCTCGCTAGCGAGGCTCCCACCTCCGGCTGGGCAGAAGAGCAGTACATTGGTATCGCTCCGGAGCACTTGCAACTGTTGGCCAGCAGCAAAGCGGATAAACAAGCAGACGGACCCGAGAGAGAGAGAGAGCTGCTGGCAGGCTGCAGTGTCAAAGCAAACTCTCTTTTCCTGAGCCTTTGAGCTCATCCTCCCTGGATGGAGCCTCCATCTGCAAAGCATCAGAGCCAGGTCGCTCTGGCAGGAGGCATCCACTGCCTCAGGAAAGGGAACAGCTATGTCTCCTCCCCAGATGGAAGCAGTGGAGAGGGCCTCCTGCCATTCCCCATGTGCTCAGTGAAAGTTAACAGGCAACTTAAGCATCTCTGGGCACTGCAAAGTGCTCCATTTAAATCCACGCACCTCACAGCGGTGATTGGCGATTGTTGCTTCTCTTGTGTAGCAGCGTGCTGGCTGTGACTCTGTGGATAAGCTAGTTCAGGGCTCTCAGCCAGATTAATCCCCCTCTTCCAAACCAGTCAAATAAACAGCAGCTCAGGAGTGTGGAACCTCAAACCCAGCCAAGGTGCTCTTCCCATCCGATGGCTGTTTGGGGCTCTCTGTGAAGTGAGTTGGGGGGTTCATATGTTCCCCAAATGTCTACATCAGGTGCAAAGAAGGGAATTTGCTACAGTCCCCATCTCAGCACAGCTGATCTCAGCTGCCCAGCAAAGGTTTTCCATAGTTACAGATCAGCTGTCTGTCTAGGGCCCATTGAGACTGACCGTGACTTCTCTGTGCTTTGAGACAGGCCTTTGTGTGCCAGGCTCTGCGGTAGGGAATGGGGGCTCTGGTGGGTACTTCCTCCTTTTCCCTTTTGGGACTGATCTACAGTGGGAAACTTTGCAAGCCAAACAGGACTCTTGCTGCAGTCTCCTGTGCAGTGAGCCATGGAGACACCCCAGGGTCATCTAGGCTGCCTGGTGACACAATCCACAGCTGGAGAAGGGCCATTTCATCTTGGGAAGCAGTGACATCCAATGAGATTAGCATAGGAACGAGGCAGACCCCTCATCTCTGGTGTGGTGTGTCCAGCGGGATTTCCTTGTGCCTGGGTGTGCTTGCACCACAGCCGACCCTGTCTCATTTCCCTGCATTCCTGGGGTGGGGTGGGGTAAGCGTCCCTCAGGGAGGGAGAGTTTGCATTTTCCTCCCAGTCCAGGGGAACCCACTGCGGTGTCGGGTCTGTCTCGCTGTGCCATTCTCCGCAGCCTTGCCCAGCCTCTCACAGTCCAGCCTGGAGCCTGGCGCCCTTTAGCGGAGTGCAGTTCTGTGCAGGCAAATTGCAGACTGATAGCAGCAGCTGTATCTCCCTGGTGGGAGTACCTTGTGCCTGGGATGAAGAATCCCCAGGGAGGTCTTTGAACTAGGAGCTGACAGCTTCTCACTGCCATGGTGCCAGCAGCAAGTCCCCTATTCTAGCAGCTCAGAGAAGCTATTACAGCTCCCCGCAGCATGCCTGGGACGGGACTCAGGGCTCCTCCGGGCTAAATGTAGATGGCGGCTGTTCCAGACAGACCGAACACGACAAGGCTGCTGGTCCTTGCTGTGGCTAGCCCTGGAGCTGCCTGTGTCATTGTCCTGCTGCATCAGTCATGTGCCTGTGTTGGCTTTAGTGAGAGCCTCACCGCAGAGGCTAAAACAAACCCCAGAGTGCCTGGCCTGTGCCCTTGATCGGAGGGGGGCTTTCCGGGTTTGTCTGACGCCTCATTGGTGGAGCTGGTCAGACAGTTTCTGTCAAAATGTTCTTTCGATTGGAAGTGGCTTTTTCAACCGAATGGGAATGGGAATGAAAAACGTGCATTCTTTCGATGAAAAATCAGGGGGAGGAGGGGCGAATCAAAACTCCCCCCCCCCCCCCACACACACACACAAGAAAATTTCAAAGAAAAACTTGCAAAAAAAAAAAAAGAAAACATTTTTGTTTGTGTCGGAAATTTCAGAAGGAAAAAATCCTTTCCCGGCCAGTTCTGCTCACAGGTCCATGGGTTCAAGGCTAGAAGGGACCGTGGTGACCATCTAGTCTGACATCCTGCACAGCACAGGCCAAGAGAAACCTCTCCTGTGATTCCTGCATCCTGCCCAGAGTTCTGGCTGAGCAAGAGCGTCTCACTTCCAGAAAGACATCAAATCCTGATTCCCGAACTCCAGGGGACAGAGAATCCCCCATGTCCCTCGGCAGCCTGTCCCACTGGTTAGTTACCCTTGCTGTTCAGACTGTCTCTCTGAAGTTGTCCCAAGAGCTGGGTGTGGTCTGTGCAGCTGGCACCTTCGCTGTGATTCGCCAAAGATGCAAGAGCCAGCAGGGCTCACACTCCTGTAACCATGTTGCTCTTGCTCGGCCGACAGGAGGAGAAGTTAGCAGCGATAAGTCAGAGATGGTTGGGGAGCGGAGACAGACGACCCAGGGGCCGTGTCTCAGGCTCGCTTTCCTGGCCGCTGCTGCCCTCCCAGCAGTTGTTCGGTTTCTTGTATCTCTGCTTGTTATTTCTATCAGAGGGCTTTTTAGTTCACCTGCAGGCAAGAGCCGTGCTTAGTTGGCCCAGGTGAGGGCAGCAGTGGTCATTCATCTTCCTAGTTAGAGCCTGGAAGTGGGACTCCGATTCCTGGGTGCGACACTGGAGTGAGTCAGTCCTGTGACGTGCTTGGATAAGTGTGGCCTGTTGCGTTACTGTTGGTTTTCAGGGCGGGCACCAGCAGAGGCTAGAGGGCTGCCAGCCAAGCGGTGACCTTGCTGGGTTTTCCCAGGGGTTGGGGAGGTGGGATGCTGACATTCAAAACTGATTAGCATGTTGGGGCGCAGAGGGCCGGCTCCGTCGCTCCCGAGCCAAGGACAGGGCAGCGTTATCTGCAGGAACGGGCAGCAGTCACTACTGGGGCGCACAGGGCCGGCTCCGTCGCTCCCGAGCCGAGGACAGGGCAGCGCTGTCTGCAGGAACGGGCAGCGATTACTATTGGGGCGCACAGGGCCGGCTCCGTCGCTCCCGAGCCGAGGACAGGGCAGCGTTGTCTGCAGGAATGGGCAGCAGTTACTATGCTAATGGGGCCCATTAAAACATGCTCTGGTGAAGAGCACAGTGCTGACCCTGGCAGCGATGGTGGGAGCCAACAAGGCCCCCACAGCGTGAAGTGACCTTGGAGCAGCAATGGCCCTCGCGACCAGTAACCCCGCAACCTGCAGCAGGCTGCTCGCTCCACTTAAGGCGGCCAAGCCAGGACCACAGCGAAGGTGCCAAGGGTGCCAGAGACCCTTTTCTGGGCTGAGCCCCACAGCCTTAGGGCTAGGGGTGGAGGTGCCCCTGTAGAGCAGGCCCCTCTGCCTGTTTGTAGCTAGTCTGTGCAGGCCGGAGTCTAGCTCACTGCTGAGGTAGAAACTGGCTCCAGTACATGGAGAAAAGGGTGGGGAGCCTGGGAACCATGATGGGGAGGAGGGCTCAGGGTGGGCAAAATGGGGTCTTGTGTTTGATGATATACAGTGTAAGGGCAACAACTTTCCTCCATCAGTCCCTGGTGCCTGCTGCCCCCAGCCCTGATCCTCAAAGGGGACCATGCAATGGCCACCATCCGTCCAAGCTGGGAGTCCATCTGAGTATGGCTCTTTCAGCTCTCCCCTAACTGGTATTGGAAACCAAAGTCACCTCCCGCCCATGCCCAAATGGGGTCCCAGCTCCGGCCAGTCTGGAGAACAAGGGGCCAAGTACCAGGCGTGGCTCCAGGTTACTCACCCACTAGGCCAACACTTGACACCTTTAACAGCAAGCATGATGCCGGCCTTCCAGTTCTTTGGGAAAGCGGATGGTGCCTCGCAGCCGGCCTGCCGGAAGTGTAACGCTGCAGCTGGGCTTTAAAAGAGGGTGGATAATTCTTTGAGGTAAACTATTAGTAGTTGAGGGTCATTAGTTGTCAGGCTTCAGGGTGCAAGCTGGTTCCCTGCAGGGGTCAGGAAGGAGTAGTTCCTCTACACAGACATGATTGCACTGTTAGCCTGGTGCGCTGCCATCCCTGTGCAGCATCAAACACTGGCTGCTGCTGGAGCCAGGGTATGGAACTTGATGGGCTGAACCCAAGCGATGGAGTTGGATTCTGGTTCTGAACTTCTCCTGACGTTCCAGAGCTGTTGGATCCAGTGTCCTGGTCCAGGCACAGCTACTGTCTGATCTGCTGGAGTGAGTCTGATGCACCTAAGGCAGCCCCCTTGCTCCCTTCCTCGCTCCTTTGCTCTGCTGCTTTTGTCCTGCCTATTGCAAAGAGTAACTCCTGTCCTCCTCTCTGTTCTAGTGGCCATGGAAACAGCGCTGATCTTTCTGTGCTCTCTGCTGGTGCCTGTGGTCGTAGCGGACGGTAGGTATCAAGAACCACATACCTTGCACTCTGGAGGGGGAAGGGGCACAGCCAAAGGCCTCTGGGACCCAGGCAGACAAAAGCAGTTATGCATCCAGATCGGGGTGCTGGCCTGTGTACCCCCCGGGCTTGGAGCTGGCAGGGGCACAACTGATGGGTGGAGGAAGCATCAGGACTTTTAAAAATATAACTCACTCACAGCAAACAAACATCAGGGGAGCTGCTAAGGGAGGGCACTGGTCCAGCTTCAGGGACACCTGTTTGGCCAGCCGTACACAGTCTGAGTGGGAACATGGGGCCATAAGCTCGGGTAACAGCCACTGAGAAAAGCACTTAGCAGGAGTCCATGAGAACCTGTCCGTATCCACCCTGCTTTACCCTACAGCTTCCTCCACCTTCTGCCTGCACCCACTCACGCTGCCTTGCATGTGAGCAATTGGCCTCAGGGCGTCTGACTGTGGCCACATCAATGCTGGGAGCTTGGGATGTGTTTCCCCAGCTCGCTCGCAGTAGCTCGATGGGAACTAGCACCAATAGAGAGTTGTGTCCCCACGGTAGCGTGGGCAGTGCAAGCCACACGGAGCACAAACACTCCTGAAAATGGTGAGTGTCTACTTGGCACAGCTAAGCCATGCCACCGTCTCCCTGCCGCCTCTTTCTTGCCAAAGAATGGCTGCTTGATAGGGGATGGCCCATTTGCTTTGTTGACACCTGGCTGGGTTGTCCACTTCCCTTTGTCTTTGAGAAACTGGTTTAGCCCCTCCCCAGACTTATCTGGGAAACATGCTTCAGTCATGGCTTTAGCTTATGTTCATGACTTCACACATGACATTGCTCCATACGTTTTGCCATGATATTACAGATCAGCAAGTTATGCATTTTCAGATGATCCCTCAGAAGGCATGCCTTGTACACCGATTATTACAGTGTGTCTAGGGTGTGAATATAGGGGTGCGTTCTGTCACACCTCCCCCCAGAGAAAGCTACAGCCTGGGAGCCACTGGCTGACCTGGAGGCAACAGGTTGGGGCCCTCTCTCCTGAATAGGGCATCTGCCACCATATTTTCTTTTCCCTTGATATGCACAATTTCCATATCAAATTCACATAGCGTAAGACTCCAATGCAGAAGCTTGGTGTTTGAGGCTTTAATTTTGTGCAGCCAGATGAATGGAGAATGATCTATTAATACCCTGAACTTTCTGTTGACAAGATAGGGCTGTAACTGCTTTACTGCCCACACAATGGCATAACATTCTTTATGATAGAATAGTTTTGTTCAGTGGGTGTCAATTTCTTAAGAAAGCAATGGGGATGTTTCTTGTTGTTCTTCCCAGACTGCCTTAATACAGCCCCTAAACCAGGATCTGATGCATCCATGCACAGTTCAAACTTGTCAAAATCTGAGCTAGCTAGAACAGGCTTTTCAGACAAGATTTTCTTCATCTTATCAACCCCCTCTTGACATGCCTTTGTGCATACAACTTCATTAGGCTTTGTCTTTTTACGTGGATTTGTGATTGCAGACATGAGGTCACTGAACCCACACACACACCTTCTGTCACAGCTTATAATACCAGACCTATGAAAGATTGGACCTGCTTCTTTGTTTGGGGCATAGGCCAATTCACTATGGCTTCAACTTTGAAGAGATCCGGGGATATTTTGATCTCCCCTACCCAGTGTGCCAAATAAGGAACTCCGGCTGGTCAAGTTTTACACCTAGAGGCTTTTACAGTTAGGTGTGTTTTGTGATCAGCCCCGGTGTTGCTAAACACTGCTGTATCATCCACACGGGCTCTTTCAGAGTCCTGCAAACTGTTTAACGCTTGGTTGAGCAGCCTCTGAAAGGTGGCTCCTGCATTAATTAACCCAAATGCTAATGTTGTGACCCCACAGAGACCCATATCAGTCATGAAAGCAGATTTTTTCTGTGCATCCTCATCTAAAGGAATCTTCCAGTTTCTGTTAACCAAATCGAAAGAGCTGAGATATTTAGCTTTGCTTAAGATACCCAGCATATCATCAATTCTAGGCATAGGATAAGCATCTGGTATGGTGACAGCACTGAGTTTTCTGTAATCAACACATAACCTTACAGTGTTGTCTTTTGTAGGGCCTAAGACCACAAGTGATGCCAAGAACTATCAGACTCTTTAATTACTCCCAGGTATAACATGCTTTGTGCTTCTGCACGAATTTGCTCTTGCACCTTGCCAGGGGCCCTGTAGGGTCTGCTGGGAGGTGGCTTTGGTTCTTCTGTAACAATTTTGTGGGTGAGCAAGTGTGCCTTCCCTGGCTTGGTAGAAAACACTTCTTTGTGCTCTTGCAGCACGGACAACACCGCTGCCTTTTCAGCTGGTGTTAACGCATTGCAGATATTGATGCTTTCCAGAGACCGAGTCAGTTTGGCATTCAGCCGTCAAATCAATGAGGTGGCGTGCCTCAGTTTCCCCTTCTGCACAGCAGATCATGTTTACCATGGCTCCCCTTCTGTGATAGGCTGTAAATCTGTTTACATGCACCAGCTGTGGGACAGCATTCCCATGAGGCTTTTTCCCATGGTCTGTATCTTCTTTCACCTCTGTCACCTCAAAAGGTCCTGCCCAGATTTTTTGCATTTTGTATTTTGTTGCTGGGCTTAGGACTAACACCCAGTCTCCTATTTCAAAAGAGTGTTTCCAAGTATGTTTATCATACCGTGCCGTTCGTTTGTGAGGTTAGACCCATCATGTCTTTTTTAACTCTTTTTCTGAACCTTTGTACGTACTCAGCTACTGGCTCTCCCTCTACCTCCATGTCCCCTTCCCAGGCATCTCTGATGAGATCTAGGGGTCCCCTCACATTCCTTCTGTATAGGAGATCAAAAGGGGAGAAGCCAGTTGATTCTTGGGGTACCTCCCTGTAAGCAAACAGCAAATATAGTAGCAACTCATCCCAATCTTGGACCCTCTTATTCACATATGTTCCCAGCCTAGATTTTAGGGTCCTACCTGGACACATGCAGACAAGTCTCTCACCTTACACTTAGCCTGTAGCTCACCAGGGCAGGGACCGTCTCCTTGTGTGTTTGTCCAGCACCCTGCACAATGGGGCCCTAATCCCTGATGGAGAGTCCTCAGCTCTACAATAGCACAAGTAGTAATTCAATGCAAGTTAAACCTTGCATGCCTAGAGGGATTTGGTACAGTGCTTGTAATCACAGTGCTCATATTCACAAACTTTTTGTCTGTTTTGTTTCCAGCAGCCAATCAAGAGAAGGAAAAAGATCCTTTCAACTATGGTGAGCATGAGTCCTTAGTGGTATGCGCATGGATGAGTGTGCACAGTATATACCCTCGTGGCGCTAACAGGACTGTGTGTGTGCGCGCATGTGTGAGACCTGACCATGTTTGTCTGAACACTGCAGCCCACTTGGAAATGAAAACTTCCCTTGCCTTTTTCCCCCCTAGATTACCAGAGTTTGAGGATCGGCGGTTTGGTGTTTGCCGTGGTCTTGTTTTCTGTTGGAATTCTCCTTATACTCAGTAAGTTGGTGAGGGCTGAGTCAGTGGCCCAGTGAGATGGTGGGAAGAACCTCATGGCTAAGAACTGGCTGCCCAGGGATGTACCTCGGGTCTCGGGACTGTGCTCCAGTGGCCAGCCTATGCCACAGCCCAGGCTGCTGCAGCCACACTGCTTCTTTACATCTCCCCGAGCTGGAAACAGCCCTGCCAGCTGCAGTGTAGACGGACCTTAGTGTAAATGGGAAAACCAACATGCTTTGAGGGCCATGTTTCTGCTGAAGGGCCCTTATGCCCCTCTCAGTTCACTGGCGGGGCTACCCTCTTCCCCTGTCCCCCCTTCCCCAGTGGGATGCTGCACACTCTGACTCCTCAACGTTTGTTTTGAGTGCTGTTTCAGACAGCACAGGAGGTGACTTTCTAACCTGTGGCGTGGCTCTGGGTCCTTTCCGCCACAGGCAAGAGCTCTGCGGCATCCCCCTGCCTGTCGTTCACCACTGCTGCATGAGACTCGGGAAGGCTGCGGGGAATGCTGCAGATCCATAGCGTACCTGCAAACGCAGCCCGCGAAGCATGGACCCATGGCCGGAGGGCTCGGGAGCTCCTGGGTAGTGAAGTTCTTGGGGAAGCACCTGGGGTGAATGGCCGCAACCTGTTCCAAAGAGAGGGTGTCTCTCATACGCTCATGGAGTTCTCTTACTCTTCCAGGCAGGAGGTGCAGATGCAGCTTCAACCAAAAGCCCAGGTACGCGTGCGAGTGGTGGTTAGCCGGTGGACTCTTTCTGCCTGGAATCGGAACGCTCTTTAGACTCTTGACCCATAAATAAATCCATAGGTACATAGCAGCTGCTAGAACGTTCCCGCTAAATGAGGATCCACGCTCCGTACTGCTTCCACAGCCAAAGCGCAGGGAGTGCCACAAGGTTTCTTGAGTAGCAAGGGCAGGATGTCTGCTTGGGGCGGTTACCCCAGTGCGGGCCGAGCTGTCTGGGGCGCACTTCCCAAGGGCCAGGACTCGAGTTATTAGCCAATCAGGAGAGTCCTAGTGGCCTCGCCAGCCTCGCCCGACTGGGACACGCTTTTCCTTGCACGTTCCGATTGCTTTTCTCCTAGGGAACCTGCCAGTTCCGTGGAGGTCGTAGCCTATGTGTAGCACATCCAGGAGCCCGGCATGCAGTCCCCTGGCCCCACCAGCCATCGTATTGCAGGATGGTGCAGTGGTGTGCCGGGGGCTCGATGGGGGCCTGCTTTATTTCATATAGGGCCCTGCAAGGGCCAGAGAGGCTTGTGCAAACTTAGGCTAACCAAGAGAGCCAGCCACTGTACAACGGATCCTTTTCCCCTCACACCTCCCTCCCTCCAACAGACTGAGAGCATCTCCTCCCCAGTGCGCCGAGAGCTCACAGCCACCCCTGACTGCTGCTCTGTAGTACCCATATCTCTGAGTTGCTGGGGCTCCCACCCACCCCAACTCCCGCCCTGGTCTGAGTCGGTTTGCTCTTGGTTTGGTGGTTATGGACGAGAGTCCACGCTTCTTCACTGGGGTGCATTTGGGTCATAAAACGGAGGTCCTAACCTGACAGGCATTGAGCAGGCATAGCCCACCTGGTCTCTGTGCTCAGCCCCTCCCAGCATCATGCACTGTTAGCGGTGTCCAAACTCCTGCTCTGTGCACTGGCAAGGGGTGGCGCCTCGCAGTTCTCACTGTGCATCTCTCGTTGCAGAGCCCCTGGGGATGAGGAGGCTCAAGCGGAGAACTTGATTGCCTCAAACGGTAAGAACCTGGTTCCCTTGCTGCACACATGTTGTGTTTCATCGAAAGATGGCCCCTGGCTGCTTGCTGGGCAGGTGGCTGAGGCCTCTTGGTTGAACTTTTAAAGACGTTTTGCCATTTTCTTTGCAGCAACAGGGGCGCAAAAGGCAGAGAACTGAACTAGAGCCATCAGGTGAGCCACACCCAGCTTTTTGTATGTGCTGCTTCTCCGTGCCGGACAGGGTGAATGGCAGCTGCACACAGGGCTGAGGTCAGAGCCTCGCTCGATGTTAGCAAGGATAGCGTGGGGTAGGGGGTGCAGTTTGTTCCGAGCAGGGAGCACAGGACCCCAGCACAAATCGGGGGGTTTACATGTTACTCGGTTGTGCTGCAGTATCGGATCCATTCCAGGATCCGGTCCCTGAGGCCTGTACTCAGATAAAGTCCCCATGTGACACCTGCAGAAAAACCCAAGGGCCTGATTCTGGTCTCCCATGCCTGTGTGTGAATCTACCGAAGGTGAGACTGATGGGCGTGAGAGCCAAACAGGGCCCGACGTGGCCCTCAAGATCTGGCCCTGGGGCTGGGAGTCAGGCGTCCTGTTGTCACTCAGATCCGGGCTGGTTTGCGGCAGTGCGATTTGTGAACGATAAAGCCACACACGTGCGATCTGTGCGGAGCGCAGCGGCGCGTCGGATTGTCTGTGTAACCTGCCTCTGTGCTGCCCGGGCAGGGCTGACACTTTACATTCCTCAAGCCAGTGCTCCCTGGTCTTCATGTCTCTGTCCCTTCCTGACCTGTGTCCTCAACACCATGCAAGCCGTAAGGCCACTGGGTACAGGATGGCTAGCTGGGGAGTTTCCCTTCTCTAGGAGCTCTACATTACTGATGCTCCTCCTACTTTATAACCCACCTTAGAGGCATGGTCTTTCTGGAGATTTTGGGTTTTCACTGTACTCTCTGAACGCGGCTTGGTGGATCAGTTACACTTAAGGTGGTGCTTTGCTACCAGGGAAAGGTGCTTTGTGCCTCTGGCAAAGTGGGTGCTTAGCATTCATGACTCTAGGAGCCCTGTTGTTAAGATCTGTGGCCCTTCTGCTCGGGCTGTTTATTTGGAGGTTGAGTTCCAGTTGGTTAATTTGGGATGGAACCTCAAATACCAGGATGGGTCCTTGGGCTCTCTTAAGACATTACAAACCCTGCAAAACCAGGCACTTACCCCAGTAACTTGGCTTACATTTCCTTGCTTCCACCTGCTGGTGTCCTGTTGTGCGTGCTGCTTGCGGCTCCATCTGTATTTCCTACTGATTCTATGTAGAGCTGAGTGAATTCGCGAAGCACAGATTCATTTCCCCTCTGTCTCTGCTCAGGGACTCCCTGCTCACAGATGGAGTTTTCCTTGAATGTTTTTGTTGCAATGACATTTTCTTAAAGTGATGGGTAGATTGCGAACCCTTGTCTGAGAGTGTTCACTGTCGTGCTCTGTTGGGTAGCGGGAACTGGTCAGGCAGGTCAATGCCATTGTGTCTGTTCTCGGATTGCATAAGTGCAGATGTGAAAATGTGGCACCAAAATACAGGATTTTTTAAAAAGAAAATGTAAATTTGGGTCCCAGAAGTGTCTGCTGCAGTGAACAAGCACCTGCTTCTAGTTAATCTTTGCCAGACAAAGCAAGTGGAATCTGCCTTTTTCTGGCTTTTTCTTAGTGTCTCCTCTGTTTTCTTCCCTGATGAGGGGTTGAGTAGCAGGAGCCAGACTGACTCATTGTCCTCCCTTCTCACAGATCAGAGACCTAAGGACAGACACTTGGACCACAAATGCAAGCGACCTGCAAGAAAGCAAGAATGACAGCAACAGGTCCTCCTGAGGAGATGCAAAGAAGCTGTGTCTGTGTTACCCACTGTACTTTAATACTGGTTCTCTGTATAAAAACCTAACTAAACTCCACACGCCATACTGTCTGCCTACACTGTAATGTGTAACGTTCATGTATAACGACCATCACCTCTAAGGCTAGCTGTTGACGATGTCGTATTAGTAAGTTTCTCTTCATTTTTCGAGTGCTGTTGAGTGGTGCGCGGCTGTGTGAGATTGTCAGGATGTGCTCCCCATGGCACTTCGCTTGGCACCACGTTGGGGGTGTGGTTCTTCATCCTTTCTGGGGGGGAGGCGAGGGGGGGTTTGGGTGGCTGCCTCTCAGACCTAGGAACATGGCTCATACACCACACTGCTAACTGAGGAAGGGAGGAGGGTGGGAATGGGAAGGGGGTTGGAAGGGGGTATTATTTTCACATCTGGGCTGATTGTGTTTTATTCTCTTGGCGAGGCAGGAAGTCTGTTAGAACTGGAGATGGGTCCAAACCAACCCCCTGGCTCTAGACTCTGCATGTTTGACGAAGGGGTGGGGGGTCTGAATCTGAACTCACATCCAGAGTTCTCAGGTGGCCAAACCCAGAGCCCAGGCCCAGACTCCCTCCTGGGCTTTGGGGAGTTTGAAATCTGAATCCTGGCCCAGGCTCTGCACCTGTGGCTCTCGTGAGAAGCCCGCGGCCAGTGGTGCCAGAGCTCAGCTCAAGGCCTCGTCCCAGTTGTGGCAGCCAGTTGATGCAGCCAGTGCTTGTGCTGTGGATGGCTGGGGTGTGCACACGTGCAACACAGACAGTGCACGCTCCAAGCATTGCACGCAGCAGGTTCTTGTTCTTGTGATGCAGTTTCTGTTTAGTTTAGACGGGGCTTCAGGAATCACTTCAGTTTTGTTTTGGTGAAACTGAATCTGCAGATAAAATACAACACGGTAGGGCTGGAAGAGACCCTTGGGGAGCAGATTGCAGTTGCGTTTTGCAGCATCAGCAATAACCTTCATGTGCCCCCGGAGCACGGCCCCAGGGGCCCTGGCTGGTGAGGAGAAAGCAGAAAAGCCAGATGCTTTTATTTCTCAGACCGCACCTTCCTGCCAGTTCAAACCCCGGAGAGCTCTCTGCAGCATGTGGCTTGTCGCTGCAGCACCCTCCTCTCTGAGCTCACAGCTAAAATCGCCTCCCCCCCTCCTCTCCCCGGAGATGTTATTTTAAATGTGATCTCTGTGAAATGCCCCAGCACAGTGACACTATGCGGGAAAGCTGGCGGTGCAGCCAGTAATCCTGCTCCCCGCCTCCCATTCTGTGTGACTCCCTCGGTGGGGGAGGAGGTCAGACTGTCTCTGAGGACTAAACAGGTCTCCTCTCAGACATTGTCTCTGTTAAAGGGCCAGTTCTTTTTTGTCTAAACCAGCAAAGGGATCCATGGAGCACTGCAGGAGAGTAAACGCAGCAGCTCTTTACCTTGAGTGGCCACACCTTTGTTAATTCCTTTCCAGTGCCCTGTGGTGGGGTACAGGGGGTTGAGTCCTTGGCATTAATGTCATGTGTAATTCCATAACCCACTTGCTGTACAACACTCCCCTCTGCCTCTGCAGAGAAAACAGAGCCCTGAATGGTGCTGGGTGACCCTCCAGGGCTCAGAGGGCAGCTCTGATAGGGTGGAGGCTGCCCCCATGCAGGTGGGCCATGCACCACTTATTTCTTATGCTGCCTTCATAGAATCATAGAATATCAGGGTTGGAAGGGACCTCAGGAGGTCATTTAGTCCAACCCCCTGCTCAAAACAGGACCAGTCCCCAACTAAATCATCCCAGCCAGGGCTTTGTCAAGCCTGACCTTAAAAACTTCTAAAGAAGGAGATTTCACTATCCTCCTAGTGAAAAAGTTTTTCCTAATATCCAACCTAAATCTCCCCCACTGCAAATTGAGACCATTACTCCTCTTTCTGTCATCTGCTACCACTGAGAACAGTCTAGATCCATCCTCTTTGGAACCCCCTTTCGGGTAGTTGAAAGCAGCTATCAAATCCCCCCTCATTCTTCTCTTCCGCAGACTGAACAATCCCAGGTGTAACTAGGAGTAAGTGTTGCCTGCCTCTGTGCTGGCCCAGGGCACAGGGTGAATTTTCCCCCCAAAACTTCCCAAAGTCTGGTCACTTATCCAAACCTCTGATTACCCAGGAATATGTCCCAGTCCTGTCGTCTTTCCTGGTGACTTATGCATTACAAGGGGCAAACTCATGTGGTCAGGTTACCTCGTAAGATTCCCTGCACTTGCCAGGCAGATGCACAAACCCAACCTGAGATAAAACAAGGGGAAAGAAATAAAATTAAATTCAAGGGAGATGAAGATTTCAGAACATCAGTGTAGGTCCAGATCCACTCCAGGAAGATTTGGTGAGCAGAAGGAAGGTTTGTTTGGGATCCATGACTTCAGGACACAGTATTTTGTTTTCCTCCAGTGGTGTGTGAGATGGGAAGCATCTCCTGTCCCGCAGTGTGAGGCAGAGTGAATGCATGTTGTGCACCTCCAGACTCTTTTCTTCGTCCAACCTGTAGCAGGCAGTAAAATGTTCTTTTTTTCTTGGTGGCATTCTACTGATTCAAACAAGCAAACAAGCAAAACCCCTCCCAGTCCCCCCCCGCCCCCCGAGTGTTAGCTGTACGTACACCATGAGTTCTGTGTTCAGAGTAACTTCAGTGTCTGTAGTGTGCAGTCAGTATAAAAAAAAATTAAAATCATATATGTAGAAAATGGCAAAATCTTGAATGTTGTAAAATAAAACCAACTGTCGTGTTTTTATTTTAAATCAGCAAAAACCTTGCTGCCGTGATAATGGACTGTTGTATTCTGTGTTGTGACCCAGAATCTATGGGGAAAACAAGGAATAAATATCATTTCTATCTCAGTGATTCTCTAACTGTTTTGCACCATAATGCCGGGATGTCTAAGGGGAGGACCAAATCCTCTTTCCTGAATGGAAGCGAAGGCCGGTGGTTAGCAGACCCAGCTGGTAAGGGGTTTGGGGCATGCACTGCCTTTTTGTTCTGTGTTTGCACAGTACCTAGCGCAATGGGGTGCTGGTCCGTGACTGGGGCTCAGAGGTGATATCACAATACAAATAATAAATACGATTACTCTTTTACAATCATTCAAGTTCAC